TGAAATATTCAGTTAGTGGTGACAACCAGTGGTACTCAGATTCTGAAATGGAAGTGCAAGGGGCAGTATAAATTAAAAAACAACAAACAGCAAAAGAGGAAAGAAAATTGTTTTAAAAAAATGTGAAGAAAATAAAAATATGAAACTCTTGTCATTGACAAAAGAAAATGTCACGAGTAATAGCAATGGTCAAATCCAATCTTTTTGTAATGATTATAAAAACTTAAACAAGAAAGTTATTTGTAGAAAGTATTGTGATGAGAGTTTTAGCCGTGGGTTTTGTTGTTGAGCTAGGTCTAAACGATACCAAGACATGAAATAAGTACTTGGTTTTAGTATAAATGCTTTATTTACGTCATACCTTGAATGTCAATATTGACTTGCTAAGTTTTTAACACAAGGTGGCAAATTTAGGCAGAGCTATTGAGTCTTCTGAATTTACCAGTGAAACCTGATCTGAGCTTCTCTGGTTGTGAATTTTATGGAATATTATGTGAATGTGGGAAATTGACTTTCTTCATGGCTTAAATTGTAAACAATACTTAAATTCTAAATTGGAATCTGAAAATGTCATCCTGATATAGTAGTATAATAAGAGGCTTTGGTTGGAGAGATTTCTTTTTACAGCTAAAACCTTGCCAAGACTTTAATTCACTGACCAATGGCCATGACCTCAGAAATTAAAATTTTTAAATGGTTATTGTTTTTTTTAACAAATTGTCAATAATGTGTAAGGTTTATGATTTACTGTGAATTGTAGGTCCAAGCTTACCAACTGGGAATTTCCAGTTTAACAAGAAAAATAGGTCAGACTGGAAAACAAACCAGCAATCTTTAAATTAGAGCAACCTTCTTGGCCTACTTTTAGATGTTTACGGTACAGATTAAATAGCCATAAGGATTGAGTTTACCATTTCTACCATTGATTCCACAGAACTACTTGGCATCATGCCAGCAAGTCTGCTAGCATTACCATGGCATGGTGCCAATATTGATGTTTTTGGTCAATGATAACAACATTATTAAATGTCTGAAGAAGACTGTACTTTTACACCTTTTAACCTTGATTCAATTAAAGTCATATTTTTATATTTTATAAACATCAAATTGTTGATTACCAGAACGAATTTGATTTGTGTTTGCTGTCAAGTTGAATAAAGAAACAATAATTTAGTTGATATTTTATGGGTAGTTACTCCTTTATGTTTTGAGAGAATCTTGCTAGTGCATGTGCCCTCTAAATTAGAGAAAAACGTGCATGATATCATAAGCTAAAAGCCATATCTACCAATTCAAGGCACCTACTTGCCACAAGCTAACATGGATGTTTAGGAAATACACAAATGAATTCATTTTCATATTAGATTTTTTCAACACTAAAGGAAGACTACGTCTTAGAATGAACATTAAATTTGAAAATTTTAAACTTGGCAAATATATTCATCAGTAGATATACCTGGAGTCATAGATAACATAACAGGATTCTTATATATTTATATAATCCGATAAATCCAAATAACTTACTGATTATCCATAAAAATCCAATTAACTATTGATTGTTTTATGAATTTTCCAAATTTTACAGGGATTCTGTTGTAACTTTATGACACCGGGTAAATTTTATGTTCATTCTAAGACGTAGTATCACTTTAATAAATAGAGTTTTTTTTGGATCATTAATTGTGTTACAGTACAAGGTAGTTGTTTTAAATGGGAATACGTGCTGACGACATTTAATGTTTTTCTATTGTCTTGTTTATAATTCATACAAACAATTAATTCTTTTGTTTTGAGTATGTTTTTAAGCTGGTTGATTTAGGTTTCAATGGAATCTGATGTAATTTTTGCTCCACTTGATTGGTTCAAATTTCAAAAATATGAATATTAAAGTTCATTATTGTACAAATATTTGAGAAGATTCTTAGAGTTTTCTGCGGAGATTTCTGTTTTCAAAAGGTCAGAGGTCAGAAGTTTAAGATATATATAGATTTGGTAATATATTAAATGTTAATCTTAGTTTAACAATTTGTCTCGGCCAGTGTTTTATATTTTATGGCTATTTTGATGAAATGTAGTGTTTCTTAACTTTAACCTCGTGAACACACTTCACAAGACACTCAAGTCTTTTAAAATGAAGATGACTTCTTAAACACCAATTTTATTCAGTCCTGTGACCTATATATGTTATTTTCCCTGGAAAGGAAATAGTTTTTAATAACTCCTACCTCCAATAAAGAGGAATTGATTTTGGGGTAAAAAATCTGACTGAAAGTTGTTTTCATGAAGTTGATGCAATTTTTCACCTTGAGAAAAAGAATTGTCACACACCTTTGTATATTTCATCATCATTGTTTTGGTTTATAATAAACCATAATATTTTGACGTCATTGACTGATTTATGGTAATGTGACATTGACGGGTGTCCTACAAACCTGAGCTTATATAGTAATTAATATTATTAAAGCTTGTATGAATGTTAAAGGGATCGTAAAGAGGTTTTGTCATGTGTATCAGACAGAGGTTACTGATAGCATCAATTCGCAAAATCCAATATGAAATTTAACATTTGTTGATTTTGCAATTCCAAAAACCAATGTTTTATGATGTAGCCATTGAAAATGCAGTAGATATTATAGCAGCTTTTGCAGTGGTGGCATCATATAGAGTTAAACAGCTCTTGATAATTACAGGAATCACAGACATTGGATGAAATTGGATTGGAATGGAATGATGCAAATGAAACGGAAAATACAAAATACAAAATAAAGCTAGAAAACCTCTTTACATTCCCTTTAAATGAAAGGACCGACAAGAGTCAACATTGATATGCCGAGGTTGAGACTACCCCCATCAGATATCTTTTTTATTGTACACAAAAATATTTTCTTTTGAACATGTCAGTATAGCTTTAAATAAAAATGTTTCAGAACTAACCTGTGTCAAACCAGTTCAATAAGGTTACACAAACTGTTAACTATATAGTCAAAAGGGCATTGAATTGTAAGGTATCAATTCAGATTGTTGCTGGCTACAACTGAATGATTAATCAAAGACGCAGAAAGAGGCATATATGATTCGAGTAGGGCACTGCCTTGAATGTCTTGGCCTATTGCAACTCTTTAACCTTGAATATTCTATAATAGTAAGAGTCTGAAAGTTTTCAAGATAAGACAATATCACAAAACATTACAAGTCATATTGCAAACATAAACAACAGACTAGAATGGTTGATAAACTAATCTTGATATTGTTTTATCATGGTATTCTAACTAATCTCAAGGTTATTTTACATCGTCAGTCTAATAGTTTAAAGTCATTCACCCTATAAAAGGGTACCTTACCCTACACATGTCATATATTAACATACATATTATATCCCCATTAATGTTATGACAGCTATTATTTAAAATATTTTAAATTTATAACATATTCATAGTCTATTGTTAACTTTTATTGCATTGCACTTGGCTGAAGTGTTATGAAATAAAGTGTAAAGAAGTGCTACAAGTGCTCAAAAACAGTAAATTCTGAAGAATGGCATAATTGATTAATAGTGTCCACATAACAGTAGCGTTGTTCTACATAACCTGATATCACTCTATTATATGATTAAGTTTGTCAGCTATGATGCAATCCATTAGTTTTTACATTATTTTGCACAATTCTTAAACTTGGAACAATTTATTATTATTATTTGACTTACAAAATATACCTTTACACTGCCTGACATTTGTATTTATAATCAGGGTTGATTACGTAGTAGGGTTGGCTCACCTTAACCTGGATTTTGTCTTATTGCTATATGATCCAGGTATTAAGGCTATTCTTTCAGATATTGATTGATATTTTGATATTTTTACACTGATTGATTCAGTATTGATACACATAGAGTCTTAACATGTTGTGTTTTTGTTTTGATTGTGTTTCAGAGGATTTTTATTTATCTACTAGAAATTTACTTATTTGGAAATTATTTTGAAGATAAAATTTTGTTTTGAGACGTTTTGGAATTGAAATATAAGCTTAGATTTTTTTTTTTGGAAATGAGATGTTATATACTTCAAATATAACTTCATCTTTGATTGTTGATTAATTTCTGTGATATTTCTGTGGGCCTTTCAGCACCAGAGAGTGATCCACTATATTTATGGAAGTATAAAGGATTTTTTTCTCCAGAATAAACTAAAATTATAAAATCAGGTGGAAAATCATTGAGGATAAGAAAGGTTAGACAAGTATAAATATAAAGTGTTTTGAAAGAAGAATAAAAATATTTGAATGAGAATGGGGTGTAATCCTAGATTTTTAACCTTCTCATTTCTAATTTTGTTAAATTTATGAGTTTTTCGATAACAATCCGAATATTTTGTTGATGAAATGATAAGTGATATTGAATTTTTTTTAATTTAAAAAATAGATTTAATTGTTTTGTTTACTACTTGACTTGAAATAGGGCTCATCATTTGCTGTGTTTTTGTAGAATGTCCACTGATGTATGAGGAGAATCTTTTTTGTAATTCTGATTCAAAAATAAACCATTGTGTGCTACAGTTTGTATAAAGATCACTTGACAGTTATTTCTGTTCATATGAAAAAATCTTTTCATTGTATCCTACTGCAAAACACTACCTGTGTTTATTAGCTTGTAAATTTCAGTGTAGAATGTTAAACTCTTTTTATACATTTCATTAAGTCAATATAATATGATGTAAAAGTTATTTAATGTGCCAAGATTTGAAGTTTACTTTGTTCTAGAGAAAATATAAATAGTTTTATTTCAATTATTGTATATTGTAAATATAAGCTATAGATATGAAATATTGATCTATATCGTGTTTACCCAATAGTGACAAGTTTTCAATTTGAACATCTGGTGTATTAGACCTAGAATTGGTTGTTATTGTGATACAATGTGCTACAGGGTTGTTGAACTCCATTGTTAATTAACTCTGTGAATATTCATGATCCAAATTACGAATATTAATACATCAATTATTATGATGGAAAGAAACAACGAGGAATATATAATTAACCAACCAAATCGTTATAATAATGAATTACGTAGGCGAAGTGTGCCAGATTCACCCTTGGCTTATGCTGGACCTGTAAATAAGGAGGTAAGGGGAATAACTCTTATTTGTATTCTACTGCAAGGTGTTCTGAATAGAGTAAAGAGTAATTAATATATTGGTGCAAAGTAAAAGGTTGTTTCAAGGTACATACATATGATAATGGAAGATTATATTCATTGAATCTGTCTGAGAGTTATTCAGTTACTTATGATGTATTGTATGAATTAGATGCTAGATACCATACAATCATTGTGTAACCCAAGCTCTCATATCAATAATAAATAGCCACTGTACAGAAATACGAAGAGTCTGTGAAATTTAACCAATCAAACGAGGGATTTACTGTATGATGTTCACATGTTTTGTGTATGTGCTCATAATTACAAAACAATCCACAAAAATGATTGTAGAGGCCTGTTGATTTGCTAGTTTGATATTGACATGGTATCATTTATTACCTTGGTCTCTAATATGAAATTGACCTGCTATATTGAAACACAGCAGAAATAGTTCCGGATGTGCTTAAGAGATTATTGGCCATTACTTGACAATCGACCATAAAATTCTGTAACATATAAGTATTTTCTATCTAGTATTTTCATAACAATTGGTATATTGTAAACATAGGTTATGGTTCAAATATATTATATTTAAATTTTATATCAGATATTAAAAGAATTCTATTTGAAATACTAAGAATCCTGGGTGTGATATTGCATGAAACTAGTAAAAATTTGTGGGTTGCTGTGTTTTTAGGATGTTTTTAGTTTTTTTTAGTTACTTGTTGAATGTGGATTTCTCTTAGTGGCTGTATTCATTTAAAATTCATTGTTTCTGTTTATCATTGATCATAAAACATGTTTCATCAACCATGGGAGACATTTAGCTCAGTCATACATCTATTCCATCTATTTATTTACTGATCAGAGATCATTTCCTGTCAGGCCCCTGTCAAAATCTTTTGATCATTCTTGTCATAACTTGTGTTAGATCTACTAAACACCAGATTTTTTTCTTATGTAAATTAAAATAATTTGGAAAACAGTGGCCAGAAAGCTGGAATTCAAATAATAGATTCTTTCAGTACAAAACTATAAGCTAATCATCATAAAAAAAAACCTTTTGCATTTTTGTGTGAGTGAGATGAGTAAAAGAACATTTTTTTGTTCAGATAAATGACTATTTCTACTACTGGTATATAGATAGAATAGAAATGATAAATTCAATGCAAAAAGGTTATCAATACACTAAATGGTTAAAGAAAAGATTCAAAAGAAAGATCTAAAATCAGAACACAATCTTCGCTCATATAAATTAATGAAATTGATTGTAAACTCAGCCAAAAGGACCTGATAATCAATCAGACTGCTCCACCCCACCCTTTACTATTCCTCTAAGAAATAATCAAAGCAAATAAATGTATCAGATACATTATCATTTTCATCTCATGTCATTCATTCAATTTTGTTTTGAATTTCTGGCTTTTGAGATGGTTTGTGTATGGCTTGCTTTTATTTCCTTTCAGAGAGGTACAGAGAAGTATACTGACCCAGCTGCTGCTGCATCTGGCATCGAAAAAACTGGCGCATGGTTTAAGGCAGAATTCCCTGAAGCTACCCTCCACATTGAAGAGATAGTAATTATGAATTATGTCCCTTTAAATCTTCTGCTTACTCTTTTCTCCTTGCTATTGCTTGCTAATCAGAGAAATGGTGGACACAGCATGGTCCACTTTTTTTTAATTTGACGTAATTGAAATAAAATAGGACATCTTTAATGGCAAAGGAAGAAAAACAGACATTTCTAAAATGTTATACTTTATATATTCAACATAGTTTTATATCTTTCAACATTGTGCAAGCAGTCTGTGCCCTTATCTTATAGATTTATATTTTTGCCGTTACCATCAAATTTTTTACTTGATTTGTCAATCAGTGAATTTGATGATCATCCTCATTGACTCCTTTTATGATCGGATTTTGGGTTTGTCTCTGATTATCTCTGTAACAGTGGCTGTGGTGCTTTCCTCTAACCTTCGACCTTTTTAACCTCTAACCCTCCCTTCTCTCATAACCTGTTGTAACTGCCTGCAAATATCTGCTTCTTCTTTAATATTTATTATGAACTTCACTAAAAACTAACATTCTCAATAGGGTAACATAGAGAGAGCATATATATATCTGTACTCTCTGTTAGTATAGGCAATGCTGCCTGAGACATCATAATTCTATGCATAATTTCAAGATTACTGATTAGTTAATATGAACCACAGAACAATTGATATTGACCAATTAAAGCCTTTGAAATTGTGTTATAATGATACTTTTGATATTGATAATAAATTTATATAAGCTTATATTATATATAAGTTTTTTTTTTTTAATTGTATTAACCATAAATTAACAATTTAAATTAGTGTAAACGTACAATATGAACTAGTTTGGAGCCAACTTTGCCTAATTAGTTCTTCATATCCGTTTTTTTTTTTCAGTGTAAATGATCTTTTTATATTCATAGAACTTTTGCTTCAGATTCTTTGTATGAATATGGATTAAGATACTTATGTTTATCATATATACTTATTATGTAAGCTTTCAAGATGAATGATCCTAATTAATTTAAAAACATAAGTGATGACTGTTTATGTTTGGAAACTTTCTGTGATGTACATAGATATCTTAATGTAACTACATCATTTAATAGTCATATAGTACAACAAGATCTAAAATAGGTACAAAAATAATTGAAAAAATTCCTCTTTTGTGTTTTCTCCCTCTATTTCTTTGGATGAACAAGGACATGGAAGAATTTTCTTTCTTCAAGGAATCTGCACCAATGATAAACTTTGTTATTTTTGGTTTGCATCTATCTTGTTAACAATAATATCTATATTGTACTGTAGTTCAAGGATTTTATTTTTAAAAGATGATGCATTGCATACTAAAGATGTGAACTTTAACTATATTTCAGAATCCAAATGAAAGTTTAGCACAAGATGTCTCCAGTACAGCTGTACTCACACCACTCGATGATGACCTGGTCGGAAACGTGGAAGATCCTGGAGATCGTGGAAACTGGACAGGAAGATTTGATTTCCTCATGTCCCTTTTGGGATATTCCGTGGGTCTGGGAAATGTCTGGAGATTTCCATATTTAGCATACAGTAATGGCGGAGGTTTGTATATTTTTTATTTGCAGTGTGTGCTTCCAATTCTTGAGTCGATAAAGGTGAATACCAACTTGAGCATCTCTTTTTCCAAGTTCACATAGTTTACAAGTTATCATTCACAACTTAATGAAAATTTGTTGACAAATTTATTGGGAATAAGTGCTCAATATATCCACTATAAGAATAATATATATTTCATATTATCAGTACGAAATTCAATATTGGATAGATTAGATCTATTAAATTTTAGCATCTTTTGAAAAATCATGGGCAATGTGATTCACCCTATTAGCTAGTAGTAATCTTAATAATTAGTTGTCTGCATTACTGTATTTATCAATTCATCATTATTCAAAATAAGATCAAATCTAGGATAATGGCTCATTTATTAAGCATGAATGTCATTAAATAAATATATCTGGTTAATTATTCCCTAACTGGTCAACCATAACCCTCCATATTTATTAATTTAAAAAATTATTGTAGAAACATCTGTTTTTTACATCAATATCTCTAATTGTCCTACATGACTTAATTGTTGGTATTTATTAAGATGGGAAAACCAGGCAAAGAGTAGGGTATAAAACTCCATTTCATTTCATTAGTGTCATGTCTTAAAATATGTCATCAGAAGAATGAAGTTCCAAAAAAAGGTTGTTCTGAATGTTCAACTTGATAAATATCCCTATTGCTTATTAAATGTCTATGATATTTCACTCATCAGAACCTTATCATTATGTGTCATCTTATTATATTCAAATGGCCTCAAATTGTGTACAATATATGGCACTATTGTCTGTTTATATCAGCACAATCAGTACAATTATTGTTATTATTGTTGATGATAGACAAGTAAATAACCTAGAACCATTGGAATGTTGTAACATATGTTAGTTCAAATAATATATCATACCATGAATTGATTTAGAGTGTATATTTCAATAATAAACTGGCTATATGTCTTGAATTTTATTGACATGATCATAGTTTGACAAACTGAGATATTTCAAAGATCAAATCTGATGTATTTAGTTTTAATTTCATTTGGCCATAATTGATAAAACAATTATACCATTGGTCTCTACTCTGACCTAGGCCCTAGGCCAGTGCTTCTATGGGAGATCATCTCTTACAAACACCATAAACCATTGATATTTTGAATTGTATACTCTCTTGTAAGGTATAACTTGCTGATTCCATGAGGTGATTGCAAAGAATGAACATACCCAGCCTTGCATTTATAACATTAAATATAAGAAGCTATTTTAACTTTGATATATGATGTAGTCTATAAAATACCTTTCTTCTGCTGTCCATGACTTCCCTCCTTGATAAGACAGGATTTAATATTGACTACTGTATATATACTTTCAGGAGCTTTCCTCTTCCCATTCGTTCTGATGTTACTATTAGTGGGATTACCAATGATGTTTATGGAACTTGCTTTGGGTCAGTTTGCTGCTCTAGGTCCTGCCACTGTGTTTGGTAGAATGTGCCCATTATTACACGGTAAGGAATTTATATTGATATTTTTATTTTTAGCACTTTGGAACCACTTGAATCTAAAATGTCTAAAAATTTCAGGAAGGTCTACATTTTGAAGTGATTTAAATATTTCAATTTAAGTACCGGTAATGTATATTTTGTAGGTTTAGGATATGGTATGGTAGCAGTTACCTCCCTTGTTGGTTTGTACTATACAGTTATCATTGCCTGGGCTGTATTATACATGTTTACATCCTTTACATCTGAGTTACCATGGGAACGGTGTCATAACCCCTGGGCAACACCTAGTAAGTTTACTTTTTGTTTCTCTTTGTACTAAGATATACTTAAAAAAAAGTCCTGAAAGCCTACATAGAAATTATATGTTACAAAGTTTATATGTAGGCCTCATGTAATAAACTTAGGCAGTATTATCACTCAACATTACGGTGTCTGCATTATGTTTTTCGTTCAGATGGGTCAACCACAGTTCTAAATTTATTCAAGGGCAAGGGGTGCATAATATTCACAATTATATGGTAGATGTCAATCTATAATTTGCTGTTATTTTCAGATTGTTACTCATTAAAAGATGCAGGTGATTGTGCAGCTAGGAATGGATCTGTATATTATCAATCTACCTGTTTTAACTCTTCATACGCTGAGGAGAATAACTTATATAATATAACAGAATCTCAGAACCATACTAGTCGAACAGCTCCTGCTCAGGATTTCTTCGAGTAAGTCAGACTTATATTTTCTCTTGGCTTAAAAACCAAACAACCACTTGAAGTTTTTTTTCAGAAAAGAGTTAAAAGGGGTCAAAAGGGCATGCTAGCTCAGGAAAATTTTTTAGATAAGAGCTTAAGTTACATTTAATATTGCACATTGCCACATGATATTGTGTACACACAAGACCTTCAGAACACAATATACCAGTAATAACAATCCTTATTGTTCTCATACCTTCAAATTCCTCACAAATTTATCCTTGAATTGATGATTCTTGAGTTAATTTATTTATATTTTAATTTTAGGCGTCATATTCTGGAAATTTCTGAGGGTATCCATGATATTGGTGCTTTAAAATGGCAGATTGTATTGTGTTTATTGTTCGCCTGGTTACTGACATTTGTAGCTCTAAGCAAGGGAGTTAAGTCTGTTGGGAAGGTAAGGGTGAAATGAATTTTGGAATTCAATAGTTTGAATAATGCTGTGATTACTAAGTAGGTTTACGAAATAGAAATTAGGATCTAGTCGGAGCACACATTGAAAATGTGTCATGGATATTGTGAAACTAAACGAGATATTCCATTGTTATGATGATATTAGGTGGCACGTTGAGGCTTTCTAAAGTCTAATTTTGGAACACATCTTGGTTGTCAGAATGAGGAAATATTAAAATACATACATTAAGTTATAGATATATTCCTTTGAATTGACTATTTTCAATTTTTTCTTTTAGGTTGTGTATTTTACAGCTCTGTTTCCATATTTTGTATTAACCATTTTATTTTTCCGCGGTGTAACATTACCAGGAGCTAAAGATGGCATTATTTATTATCTTACTCCTGATTTTGAACAACTTAAAATGGCCAAGGTAAGATGATTATTTCTAGTTTTTATACGCCCACATCTCTCTATGTAGATGTATATTGTTGGCACCTCCGTCCATCCGTCCGTCAACATTTGCTCTAAAAACTAGATTTTTTGATGGAATCAAATGAAATTTGGTATGTGTATACATATTCATAAAACGAAGATCAAATTCGAATTTGAGCTATTTTCGACTGTTAGAAGCAGAGTTATTACCCTTGCCCCAAAATCTTGAATATTTACCATCCGCATGCCGTGGTGGCTGTGGTCCACTATCTTTAAACACCCGGGTCTTCTTGTCCATGCAGCATTTAATCTGCAACAGACCTAGTTTGAATAAGAAAGCTGATAGTACTGGGTATTGCCAATCATGCCACTAACTGCTGTCCCAATGACTTCAATTTTCATTCATTTTCCTCTAACACAGTTTGTGAATAAAATACACTGAACTCAAATCATATGACTTAAAGCATCTTGTAAATTACCATTTCATTTCTTTGTTTTAACTATTCAATTGACTATAAACTTTATCTTATTTGAATTCAGACATGGGTAGCAGCTGCTGTTCAAATTTTCTTTGCATTGAGTCCAGCATGGGGAGGATTGATCACTCTATCTAGCTACAACAAGTTTCACAATGACTGTTATAAGTAAGTTATCTTTTATTAGAGGATCATCTTTCAGTTTCTTTAGTAATCTTTGACTATCATACAGAAATGACATTCCATTCAGTCAAATTACAATAGTGATGTACTCTTTTAGTTATAAAATCAGAAAAATAATGATGTAGAATCATAAAACAATGAAAATTTGTCTGTTTTCCCTTAGGATTCAGGCTTATCTTTACAAATAATTATTGTTTTGTGTATTTTTCAGAGATGCTCTAATAGTATCAATCAGTAATATTAGTACAAGTATATTTGCTGGTTTTGTGATATTTTCTATTGTGGGATATTTAGCTCAGGAATTGGGTATGCCGGTAGATAAAGTCGTAGAGCAAGGTAAGAATAGGGAAAAATTATATGGAAGGAATGCATTTTACAATGTAAAAAACACTTTGCCGTTTAGATTTGATAATGACACTATATAATTCGTTTGTGAAATGGCATATAATGTATTTGATACACTTTATGAAAAAACAATCACTGGCTTCAGTTTTATACAAAGTTTTGATGTCATCCTCTGGGTTATATTGCTAAGATGGAGATAGAATGAGACTCAGAATTTTATCATTATGGTATTAATAATATTGTGAATAATTTATTTTGTAGGACCTGGTCTAGCATTTATTGTATTCCCTGATGTAGTAACAAGATTACCTGTTTCACCACTCTGGTCTTTTCTCTTCTTCTTTATGTTGATTACACTGGGTATGGGTAGTGAGGTAGGTACTGGTTTATTCTTTAAACATGGTATATTGAACTGTGAAATGCTCCTGATGTACAATTCATCCCCATTGGGACACTGAAGTTGATTCTGGCATTGGTTGATTTAGTTATTATTTTAGATTTTCAGGCTTGATAGTGATATACCACTTAAATTGAAAATTTTGTATTTTCTAAGGGCTAGAAATAGGCTTACTCTAATGCATATTGATGTTGCTTTGTTTGATAAGATGTGGGATATGGCAGAAACTAGGTTGTGGAATTTAATTTTACCTTTAAGTTACATTTTGAATAATTTTTTCTCTTGCTATGTTAATATTCAAGTATTTACTACTTATTTTCAGTTTGCGTTGTTAGAAACAGTTATGACGGCAGTACAAGACACGTATCCTCAACTACGTAGTAAGAAAGTGTATGTTGTCATGATAGTCAGTATATTAGGTTTTGCTGGTGGATTAATCATTTGTTCTCAGGTATAATATTTATTATAATTTACAAAGTTATAGAAAGCACTGATTAACATGGTTAGGGAAAATTATAGTTAAAACTTAATGCTGTCATGGAGTCTTTTGAAACTCTTGACTATGTTTTATAAGTGAGTCTTGCTCGACCCTGAAGGTCCTGACAAGGGTTGAGAAAATACCTTTAAGGAAGGATTATGATGCCATGGCTAGTTCTTACAGTGTCTACTTTTGACCTCTTCAATCTGTTGTTGGGAGAGGAAAGCATCCACTTTTCAATCCAGACTTTGACCTCTTCATTTCTCCAACCTTTTATTGAAGAGGTCGTCCATATTTTTAATCCATTTTTTAAATTATTTGATTTATTACAGGGAGGTATGTACGTGTTACAATTGATGGATACATATGCTGCTAGCTGGTCTGTGTTTTTGATGGCTATTTTAGAATGTGTTCTTATAGCATGGATTTATGGTAAGTATTTAAATTTTGATTTTATTCATAGACTTGGCTCTATTTGCTGGATATGACTCAGAAGCTAATAATCCATCAATACCATTACACTAGTGCAGAATTTCAATTTGTTAAATATGAAAAGTGAAAACAGTTTTTTTTTTGCCTTGTTTACATTCGTTCCTACACTTCCATGCCATATCACAAGACCTCTCATATCAACAGTTATTCTATCAATAGTCACTTCATGAAACTTGTCTTGTCAATTATCTTTTATGTTATTAAATGAAATTTGTGATATATAAGATAATATTTGTCCGTTTTAAAAGGTGCTGATAGGTTTTTACAAGATATCGAACAGATGATTGGTGTGAAAAATAGACACTGGCACAATTTCTTTAAATTGTTTTGGAAATACCTTACTCCTGGAACTTTATTGGTAAGTTTTCAGTAAAAAACATGATGCATGTTTTGAAAAAAAACCCTTAAGAATAACAACTGTCTTCAGGTTCTCAAAAGTTCCGTCTACCAGCTGGTCCCTGTCCAAACCTCTTTGCATTGACCTTTCCTGGATCGTATCCGTTTACAAACGGGAATAATAGGATCAAGGTCACCATACATTAACTCGCCAACGGAGTTTGGTGTATCCAAGCAAATAATGTAAAGATTCCAATGCTCTAACTGATGGAGCTACGGCCCTTCCACATTAAATTTAAAAATTTGCAAAATTACACTAAAAAATTTGAAGGCATGTGCATTACATGATCTGAATTTTACATTTCAACATCTAATAATTCCTGTTTTTGTATTTTTCAGTTTTTGTTGTTTTTTAACTGGATTCAATATTCACCAATGGAATATGCTGGTAAAAAATATCCAATGTGGGCTGATGGTATAGGATGGGCTATGGCCTTTATACCTGTAATACTAGTAGTAGGAATAGCTATTAATCATATCCTCAAAGCTGAAGGTAGCTTATTACAGGTGAGAACTATGTCTAACAAGAGCTACATTTGTCTAAATATTTGCTTTACGGGCTGCACTATAAGGTGTATTTAATTAACCAAGTTCACCTTCTGGTATTATGCCAATTACAGTATAAAGCAAATAAACATTTTGACTACTGTGAATTTTAAGTCTGCTGTTGCTACTGTTTTTATAGTATGAAGGCCTTCTTTATAGTCTAAAATAATAATAGTCCAATAAACTTATATTTTGTTTAGATAGTGTTATTTTATTATACTTCAAAATAGTTTATCCTAAATAGTTTTTATTGAATAGTATTAGAAATATAACTTTTATCAAAGTTTTACCTTGTTTTACCTTATTGCATCATAATTCAAAAACGTTATGTTCAATAATTGATGTTCTTCTTTTTCAGAGATTGAAAACCTTAATAAGACCTTCAGATAAATGGGGACCTGCCCATAAAGTTCCAAAATTTGATTTGACAGACCCAGAGGGGCAAAGAAAAATATTAACTTCCAATGCCGCTTTTAGTGCTAGCAGTCCTTTTGAAACTCAAATATGAGTTGTGAAAAATGATCGAAAGAAACATAATCTTCCTTGAACCTGTGACCTGATATAAAATTGAGATTTAAATAATATTGTGATGATAATGGATCTCAAGTGCTACATCATGACATTTCTATAGTGATGTCACTATGTCTGACATGTCACTGACATCACTATGACAACCGTTGCCTTAATGACATTCACTAACATGATAGTGCCAAGGATGAATTAATGTATGTATAAATTGTATAATGTGTGCGTGTGAGTTTGTTTTGGAATATAGCCGGTGAAATATGTTATGTAGTTTTCAACTAACATCTAATCCTGACACTGACTGCAGCAAATCCTTGACCAAAAACGACCAAAGAGATTGTTCCAAATAGCAGATCTGAAATTTATGTATTAGAAAATTCACAGTGTTTTGAAGCCTGGTAGTAAAGTTATTGCATTTTAGTTGACAAAAAAAACTGTTGTCAATCCTGGTAATATAAAATCACAGTCCAAGAAGAAAATTTTACATCTTCAAATTAGTTTTAATGCTAGTTAAACACGGCTGTCTTTTACATTGGCACATTAACAACGCTGAGAAAGGAAGATCTTGAACACTAATGAATTTGATATGAAATGGAAAATAATGTTACCGCAAAATTTGCAGAAAAAGTGCTACATGGATGGATATATGGGAAGACTCAAAGGTTTAATCACTGATGAACGGAGTTAACTGGAGAAAGGAAATTTATTTAGCTGATAGTTCAAATTTGAAAATGAATTGAGCGAATCGTTGTCTTCAATTCCAGATCTTCACTAAGATGGATATAATAGCATTGGTAGTCAACATCAAGTCACATTCAGGCAGTTATAATATATTGAATTGATGGTTAAGATTAAGTGAGAGAAAACTAATTCATATTGGTTATAGGTATGATCATGGACTTCAAAATATCATTGTAAAAGCCTTCAAAAGTTTCACCAGTATGTGATTCATTGTTGAGTGCAAACGTCTTGAGTTTAAACTAAAACTTGAGTAAATTAGAGCATTATTATTATAAATCATCGACTTAATGTCTTCAAATTATATTATGTTCATCATCTAAGCCTAAGTTAGGCTTATTGTTTCAAGCTTTAGATTTTCGTTTTGGCCTTAGATTATGGTATTGATTGTTTATTTCATCAAATTATCGAAATTCAAGCCTTATTGAATTTATGTATATGGCAAGTTTGAATGTAAAAAATACTAATCTTCTGATCATGATACCATAAATTCTTGCGCTTGGTCATCAACTATCTTGGCATCTTGATTGTAAAGAGGTTTGCTAAAATATGCTTAATCACATTTAGTGATGTCATAAAACACTTGTTTGGAATTGTATAAACCACAGACTGAAATATGGAATGGTAAAAATTGATATCAGAATCTCCTATACACATTAAAAAGTTAGAAAACCTCTTTACAATCTTTTTATCAATGATAACATCCACTCCCATATGACAAATGAATGTAACAACATATACCTTCACTTACTTCACATTAATCTGAAATCACTGATCTTAAATTGGTTTAAGACTTCCCACTTTGATCCCACTTTAAATATTAAAATTTAAATCTTGATTTAAGCAACTACATTTATCTGATTGGTCAAGTAATCAATTATCTAAAATATTTTTGAAATTTCTGGAATAGGTTTATTGAGCTTTTAACTTGAATTATTCTCACACTCTTGAGTTGGAAATTATTCTTTGTTAATCCCTGTTGTGTTGTGAATCTTGGTTCAAATTTCTTGCGATTTCATTGGTCCATTACAATATCTGACCAATCAAAGCACAAATATTTGAATATATTTGTATGTATGTTTGAGAGAAACAGGTTTTTATTATGTATATATCACTATGGCAGCTCTATATATACTATTTTAGGCCTTGAATTTTTTCACTCGGACAGGGCATTATAAGGAATAACATTTTCTTTATAATGCCTTCTTTATTTTTAATATAAAACCTATGTTATTACTATTATTGTTTGATATTGGAACTTTATGTTGTGAGTGTTAATTTCAGTATATTATTTTGAACTCTTACTTTCCAATTTGCATATTTCAAAATCTTAGTTGATTTTGCTTAAATTTAATTTAGAAAAAATAAATCACAATATTCATGAGTCAAAACTCAAAAAGATTAGGGCCTTGTTTCTCACTAAAAGAAATATGACAAAAACCCAGGTACAGGTTGTTCAAAAGAAATGACTGTCTAAATCCTTGATTCAGGCAAACTTGGCAAAGAATAAGTAAAAAAAATGATCAATACAGAAGATATGTGACTGTTTTTCAAACTTACAGAAATGAGCAAAATGTTCCCAAATTAGGACGCCAAATATGTAAATAGATGTATATATATAATTATATAAATATGTATGCAGATTTATAATAACTGTTTAAAAGGCTGGTGTCAATGGGTTTGGATGCTTGAAATATTATTGTATACATTGAGATAATTCTTTGTGACCCTTTCTTGCAAAACTAATTACTTTCAAACTTTTCAAAATGAAAGAGATAATCGGAATTTGATTTTGAAAATTGAACTGTGTGACCCTTTTATTTTGGTTTGAGTTCAGAGTTGATAAAATGTTATTTTTATTTTGGTTCAAATCATCAATTAACACCACTTACAGTTTCTATCTATCTATAACATTAACTCCCCCAAACATGAATTCTGTTATGATTTTAGTAACAATCCTAGAATGGTTTATTTTCATAATTAGAATTGTTTCAAAACTATTATTTTCAAGCCTTGATCACTGAAGATCACAAAAGCATTTTTCAACATTTGTCTTTACTATTTATTGTCTGTGAGTAGCTTTGAACATGACTTAATTGTGAATCTCAAAATATTTTTTTTGATTAGAATCTCATAGTTTACATAGTTTAAAAGTATTTGCTGTGGATGTTCGTATGAATTTTTCATTTTCAAGCTGTTGATTGTCAGTCCACATAGAAATTTCTTGAAAGAAAACTCACTTGATACGAGAAATAGTCTCTTAGTTAATTATACATTTGTTATCATACTCTTTGTTATGTTTGAGCTAAAGTAATAATTTTAGATTTAAAAAAATTCAGTTGTTCTCATGAAATGAGTAAAATGATAAGATTTTTATTTCCAGAAAGCAAAGTGTGGATTGTAGATTAAGAGGTGTTATATCTGGTGTTATATCTGGTGTATATTCGTAAGCTGCCTCATCTAATCTTTGACCATTTTAAATTTTTACACTCTATGAATGTCTATAAAATTCTAAGTTGGAATATGGATACTGCCTTTTTGGGTCTAAAATACTAAGCGATAAAGAAGTGTTATGAGGGAATTCCTAATGGTCAGAATAAAACTATGTCTATTTACACACATATAAACTCTAGAAATGATTGTTCAATCTCTTAAAGCTTGTTTGTTTAAATGTTGATAGTTAATTAATGTATAAACCTGAAGTTTGTTGTTGAATGTTGCAAAAATAATGCAAAGTTTTTAACCTAAAATATTATGAAATATTCCTTGTTTGTTTAGCCACTCTTATACAAGTGTATTATCATAGGCATTATGACCTGTATATACCCAATGTTCAAACTACAGAAGGCATATATACAGGGCTTAAGAAAGCGTTTTAGATATACAACCCTTACCATCTTTTTTACATTTCATTATTTATGACTGTTAAGCGTTGTTATTTTCAATATGTTGACAATTTATTCTTGTTAGGTTTTGAATTTTTTGGAATGAATTTTAGATGCACTCATGGTATTTCATGAATTGTCATGTCAATTGATTGTTGTTTTGAATTGATTACCAAGACTGAATTATTTATCAAAAATTGTACAAGGATTGAAGACTAAGAATGGTTTGTTAAATTTCTTATTTATTTTCTTAGTTTCAATATAGGACTTTATACCAAATTGACCTCTGTTATTCAGGAAAATAACTTGAAAAGCTTCTGAGAAAATTCCAAATTATCAGCATTTATTAATAATACAGAAAACATTTTCAAAATAAATATATTCCAAAGTGAAAATACGAAGAAAATTATGGATTGAATCCAGATTAAGAATAATACCTATTCAGTAGCATAATTTATATATTTTGTTATAATTCTTGGTTATTTCATTAAAATGTTTTGTGAAAATACTTAGAAATGTTTTCAAAGCAATTTCTAATTTGTGCTGTATATCCTCTAGGTTGGTTTACTGTTTCTGTTGTATATATTGCCAATTATCTTGATATTTTTGTATTTGGTTATTCCAGACCATTCTACTTTAAGATCTATAACACATTGTTTGATTGCAAACCATTTTCAAAATTGTTTATTATCTTTTTTAAAAAAAGGGTTAAATTCCACCTAGTATTGCCAAAGTCTTAAATATCAGCTTTTTTAGAGTGGTTTCAGGTGTTTTAGAAAAGAAAAGATCTGTTGACTATTGGTTGAAATGAAATTGCTTTGAGAATTATTAATTTTATTATTGTACGATTGTATATAATTTAAGTGTTCCCTGATCTAGTCACTTTAATCCATTGAAGGAAAAATCTTTCAAGCTTAACTTTATCAGACCTTGATTTGAAATTTTTTTTTCAGGAATAATATTCCATTTTGATTGAAGAGATCTGATGATAGATTCATAAAAAACAATAATGTTATTATCACATTGAATTAATGATTTGGTGGCATAAATACTGTTTTAAAAGTATGGTCTTCAATTCAATTTCAACTCATCGATCCAAGTTGTACTAAATGGACAAATCATAATTATAAAAATAGAATTTAACTCGATTTTACCTTCTAATTAAAGTGACTGTAACAGGATTATTCAAATAGTGTATATAAGGTTCCCATATTATTTTTTTGAAGAATTCCTGCTCTTTGTTTTCTGCTTTTGACTGGTATACTTCTATTATTTTTTTTAATATGTAAAATATTTTTATTCGTTTGGCTATTCTTATAAAATCATTCAAAAGATTTTTAAAAGTATTAAGTCAATAAGA